TGGGAAGAAACACCGAGCACCTGACGTAGAAGCGCGTCGGAATGTCACTAGGGTCAATGAGACCTGGCATCGAATGCAGATTTAGCGCGTCAGGCACAGGGCAGATAGCAAATTGCCGTTTGGGTCAGCGTATTGCTGCATGCCTCAACCACATGTTCAGCATCCTTTTATCCTGCAAGGAATTAGGGAACAAGTGACAAATGTAGACATGAGACACAACAAACTCAAGCATCCTTTTGTCACAGAAGGCGCAGCACATCCAGTTGCGCGATGATGCTTTTGCAACTCATGAGACTGTACCTGCGTTCGCGCTGGCGTTTTGCCCACGAAGTACCTGCCTTAAACGGCTGAGCACCATCTTTCTCGGGACATATTTGGAGAAGCACGTTTGGCATGTCCGGAAGGGTATCTCGGGCTTCGTTCTTCTTCGGCTTTCTAGCCTTGTCTTGGCTTGTCTTGTTCAGGTCCTTTGCAGTTTTCTTGGCTCCATACCGACACTGGGCTGCAATGTACTCACACGTGCCACACTTCACCCGCTTCACGGGAATCAACAAGTCATGGTGAGCATTCCGAAACGGAACATTGCACATAATAGCATGTCCAGCAGTGTCTGATACACTGGCTTCACTCTGTGGGTACGATACCCCATCCTTCCAGCAAACCTCAAATGGTTCCAAGACCATTTTCAAATGTGCGTTGTCTGTCGGATAGATCTCCAGGAAGGGAGCCCAGGTGTTGTTGGCGGTCCAGTTGCGTTGCATGCAATAAAGGTGGAACCGTGCCGCTAGGGAATGTGCAACCAGCTCTTCCCACGGCTTTCCCCTCGCAACGTTCCCCCGATTGTTTGACGCAACCAGCTGCAATGAGTCTGGCAGGAGACGATCCAGACGAATGTTCAAGGCCTTCAACTCACCTTGAAGCTGCTGGCGGACCGCTTGGTCAAAACACCACCAAACCCGTGGAACCTGTACAGAGTTGTTCGCTGGAAATGCCGCTCCTGCGTTGAAAATATCCGACCATGCTGTAGATGTTCCAGGCACAGTACTATAAAGATCGGTATCTGCTGTCGGCCACCGAACGGCCGAGCAAAGAACCAGTGATAAAGCAACTGCTGGGTGAGAAAAACAAGGTCCGGCAGACCCATACGACCCTTGAAGCACTTCGACATGGCATTAAACGCAGTAGCTGCCTTTGACTTGAAGATTCCGCTCGTCTCGAAAGCATGCCGCAACAGTCGAGGAACTCCACCCGAGAAAAACACAATCTGGTTGAACACATTCTCGTCATACTGAGTCCCGTTCCATTGCTTCATGGCCAAGACAGCAGCGTCTCGAGACAGTGGTGCAAGTGCTGCTAATTCACAGACGACAAGCTTTGTGTACTCGATATCCGGGCGACCCTTTATCAAGTTCAGTGTGCCTGTACAGAAGCAGGCCATCTGCTGGGGAAGCCTTGAACAAATGTCCGTAAGGCTTGACTTGGTTCCTCGCATGTGGCTCTGCCCCCTGCTTGCGCTCGCAAGGAGTTCTGCCTGATCCAAGAATAAAAGACGAGGGCAGTCTTTTGGCGCCGCTAATGCTTGTTCGGTAATTGAGAGCCACTGGTCAAGCACATCGTCCCTGCTTTTACAGCAGGACGCAATCCACGACAGAACACTGTCACCTGATGGGGTTGGAGTCGAGTGGCTCTGTTTCAGAAGCTGCAACACAGGACCAAAGTCCCTGCGCTCAAAAACGACGTTTTGCCCCGGCGCAAATTCCACAGTGTAGTCGTGGAAGAACTGCAGAAGATGCCAAATGATGATGGCCGACACCAGCATGTCAGCATCCGTGCTCAAGTATTGCTGTAGAAACAGTGCATCGAACACCAGCAGCCGTCCATATCTGCGGCTGTCAGCATACTGCTTGCTTTGTGCGAGTTGTCGAACTAGCGATGTCTTGCCCGTGCCCCTAGGGCTCCAAAGAGCAACGAGCCTAGGCTTATTCAACCCTTGTGACCCGGTCGTGTAGTTCAGCTCAGCTAAAACCTTGTCCACAGCTGTCTCCCTCTCCAAGAACGGACGATCTTCTTTGTTGTTGATGCGTCCATTCAAGAAGCGTTCGTCAAGATCGGGAAGCTCGTCGCCAAAGTTCTTCAGAAGAGTAGATCCTGCCTGCACACAAGCACCAAAAACAAACGCAGCCTGACAGCAACGACCGCACGAAAACGCACGACGACCAAGAGCCCCGGACATGCAGGAGTGTTACAAACCAAAGGCAACATGCCCACGC